TTCTTTAATCGGGGCATTAACAACCTGTTTAGTAAGATAGAAAAGCATCATCGATAAGAATGGAGACTTATTTCATTTGATAAATGTTTTGTTTTGACATATAAGTTGCTCGGGTTTTTTCAACTAAAAAAAATGCGACATTAATTTCTTGACGACCTAATAGTAGTAAACTTAACATCCGTTATACATATGTAGAATAATTGAAATAGTCCTGTATGTACGTAGTCGTTGTTGCAGTTGTTTGTTGAATTTTGCACTAGAGCTACCTGTGATAGCCAACCGTCTCTAATTTTGAAGTGAGAGATTAGAAGGAAGGCAGCAAGTCAACATCACCCACCGCCAATTGGTGGGCAAGTCTAATCGAATAGTGGGATTTGACTATTACTCTTATAACGCACCCACAACCCCAAATTGCAGATCCCAGTGTTTTATTTATTTATCTATTTGGCCCGGCATGACCAGGTGGTTAGGGCGCTCGACTCGCAATCTGATAGTCGTGGGTTCGAATCCCCGTTCCACCAAACATGCTCACCCTTTCAGTCGTGGGGGCGTTATAATGTCACGGTCAATCCCACTATTTGTTGGTAAAAGAGTAGCTCAAGAGTTGGCGGTGGGTGGTGATGACTAGTTGCCTTCTCTCTAGTCTTACACTGCTAAATTATGGACGGTTAGCGCAGATAGCCCTCGTGTAGCTTTGCGCAAAATTCAAAAGAAACAAAGAAACAAACAATTTATTTATTTATTAGCATTATCAAAAATAATAATGTGATTTCAAGTAATTAATAGAAATTTGTTTTGTCGCAAGCGCCACCTAGCGACTAGTGAGTACAGTAAAAATTCAAACAATACTAGGATTTATCAATTTATTAAAACTCAACATTCTATAATTAAGTATTCTGGGGATATTGGTGAAACACGTCTACTAACCCATGATAGTAGTTATTCAGCACGAAATCTTGGTATCTTTATATTTAATTAAGGGCCTAAATATTTTCTCTCTTATAGAGATAAACCACACGAGATATTCTTATTTCAATGTTAGGTAGATAAACTCTTGTTGCTTCATTTGTTTCAAACAGCCATTTCCGTGATCATGTTTAACGCTTGAGAAGAGGTTTCAAAATCAATAAAAACATATTTGTATTCTTACACATTGTTTCTACTCACACTTAATTTTCGGAATGCAGCCAATCTATAGCACGTTCTTACAGTTCGAATTTAACGTCATGATTGTGTTATTCCACTTCGGTCAACAATCACTTGTTCGACAGCTCCGAGACGATGACCGAAGATTACAATCTCGGACAATGTGTTCTAAAACAGATCTAGTTTTATTTGCAGAGAATGTATGCATATACGAGGAACATAAGAAAATACTTTTAGGTAACATTGACCTTTAGCCTATTATAACCAACTCATGAAGAATATAGCTACTAACCGAATTAAAAAACAACAACAAAAGAGAAGTCACAACGAAGTAAGAAAAAACACCACTATAAATTACAAGCATTGTGAAAAACACTTCTTTCAAATATTATGCATTTAGAGATTAATAATAAATAGACCGACAACGATATATAAGTATAATGAAAATAGCTTTATGTGGAAAACATAATACATGTTTCAACAGAACATTGGTCTGTTTTTTTCAGGTATCTGTTTGTTTGTTTGTAATTATGCACAAATCTACACAATGAGCTATCTGTGCTCTGGCCACCACGGGTATCGAAACTTGGGAGCGCAAGTATCTGAAGAGGACAAATGTAGCATGTATGCTATATATATTTTTTTTTTTCACTATGCTTATAAATCGTTGTTGGTCAATCTACTATTGTATTAACATAACGTGCTTCCATACACAAGTATTTTATAGACATACAAAATTGATCGTGTTTATATTTTTTAATCACATGGGGATTGTAAGTAAACGAGCTTCTATTTTTTGATGTTGTTTACTTTAATGTAGTTTCAAGATTTTCGTTTCTCTATATTATTGTTCAGAGCGTTGTTTGTAATTAAGCACAAAGCTACACAATGGGCTATCTGTGCTCTGCCCACCACGAGTATCGAAACCGATTTCTGGCGTTAAAAGTCCGCAGACATACCGCAGTGCCACTGGGGGGCGTTGTTCAAAGCAACTCCATTTGGTGAGCTTTCAAGATATATCAGGGTATTAGGTGAATTCTAGTATTAATGTGACAATTTATTGTAAAGTATATCGATAAAGATTGGATAAAATCTTAAAATGTAAAAAACTACAAAAGAGAATGTTTTCTCACAATTTGGACCAAACAAAATTGAATTAAACATATTTATATTTGTTACATATCATATACATTCATAAATCGCTAAAAATAATAATTGATGGTGGTTATGTATATATATACATGTATTATGCAATGTAAAGATAACTGTAAAGATAACTCATTTGAATGAGAGGATGACGAGTTATTATTCTAGTACGGTAGTTTACCTTTAAGACATCGCTTGTAGTTTATACTAGTATCAGAGTTTGATATCTTTTTTTATTAGGAAGGTAAGACGAATAAAAACATTCATCTTAAGATACACCTTAAGATAAATAATCATATTTCAGTTTCTAATTTTGTTTTTTTAGTAAAAAAAAAGTTACAAAAATATGTTTCGCAATCAGATAAAAAACTGAGTTGTCCTCTATATTGTCATTTTAAGCAAATATACTGTATATTATCAATACGATGGGTTTCAACTCAGGCTCTTAAATCTCACACTGGAGCCACTCTTAGATTGAAAGATTAAACAACACTAGAGTATTTACTATAAAATGATAATACGAGAACGTGAACATTTCAGTGTGTAGAGAATATTGTTTGCTTGTTGTAATTAAGGATACAGCTACAAAATGGACTATCTGTACTGTGCCCACCACGGGTATCTAATACTGGTTTTTAGCGTTATAAGCCCACATGCTTGTTGCTGAGTAACTTGGGGGAGCATGTAGAAAGGAAGTATTTATTTGAATTACTGAATAAAAAAACATAATTAATTTACTGTTAGTAGAGTAAAATCGCATCAAAGACACCAAAAAGTATAATTATTATCATATTTAGTTTAATGGTGCTACTGTTTTTAATGATCCGTGTTGTTATCGTTTTTTATGTCATTTGTCCAATAAGTACAAGTAAAAATGCTTTAATGATACGCCAATGGTAATTATTCGATTAAGTTATATTCCAAAGATATTGCAAAATTTTGGTTGTTGGATTTTTAAAAACTTAAACTTGCGGTGAGATTGAATTAGATAACAAAGCTTTTACACAATTCACTTTTCTTGAACTTTCTCGTCAAAATGCAATCGAAATAAGCTTTCCAGCATTTTTATCTTTTGTACTAATTCAGATCATTATTCCAAGGTTTTGAAACACTCTATGCAAAGAAATTTATTAAGACCAGATGTCGTGCAAGTGTGATCACCTTATATTAATAATCAAAGAACCTAATCGACACTGATAATAAGTAGTTGATTTTTTCGTAACACCCCACACCTCTCAGGCAAACCAACCTATCAGAGTTCTGGGGTAATTAAAAGGTCTGTTTGTTTATTGTTGAGCACAAAGCTACGCCATGGGCTATCTGTACTTTGCCCACCTCGAGTATTGAAACCCAATGTTTAGCAGTGTGAGCCCTCCGGCGAACATTAAAGAAAAGGGCAGATTACTCATTTCTTATTGTCATAGGCATAACGTTTGAGGTTAAATTGTAACTTACAATGCCTGCAATATGTTTACGTTGAAGCTTACTCGCCCACACACACACAACTATACACTACGATAATTATTTCCATGGCGTCTATGGCTTTTGAACTATTAACAATGAAGTTAAAAAAAATTACTTTTACTCTATAGATTACAAAAACGTTGTTATTATTATTATTTGGAGAGTAAAGGTAGTTGTTGTTTTTTAACTTTATTGTCAAAATATCTAAATCTCTCCAGTGTACACTACAAATTTCGAAAACAACAAAAATTTTGACCTTCTGTTGGTAATCTTATTCAATGTTAGCATTTAATATTTTTGTTATTAGTTATAAGATAGTTATGGTTTAAATTTTAAATTTAGAAAAACAGTATTCAACACCTTGAAGAGATTGTCTTCAATAGTACGCATATATTTCACTCTGAATCAGCTTATCTACATCAATATCCTGTTATATATGGACGGTTTTACCCCTGATAAAACAAGAAGACTTTTAAGTGTTTTCACTTAAAATATTCAACACCAAATTAAATGTTTTTGAAACAGATATTAATAAAGAACTGTTTTTTTTTCTTTAAATTACAAAAAATAATTAAGTTTGTGTATTAGATTATGATTTTACAAAATTTATATTTAGCCGCTAGAGGAGAGGTTTTTATTATAATCTGAGCCCTTTCAGACAAATAATCTTTCGAAACTCTGTTGTAAGTGGTTCTAGTGGCGTCTTGGTTTTTAGTCACCATATTGAAATATTTGGATCAGGTCAATTAAATTATAAGTTTTTGATAATTATTTGTTCAAAAGTTTATAAAAATCTTTCAAAATGCCCAAAAATAAAGGTAAATGTATTATTATCTTATTTATCTAAGTTTTGTGTCTGTCAGGCAGGATTTCATAATCATAATATACATGTAGTGATGTACTGTAGACTTTGCAACTGGTAAGAGTTAGGCCTAGGCCCATTTTAATTTTTTACATCTTGCTAGTATATACTAATATTATTTTAAGTGATTAAATTCACCAACCCACACCCTTACTATTTCAGCTTTATAGCCTTGGTTATATAATTTAGGATTTCAGATCTAATTTAATTGTTAATTATATTAATTCTTAACCCGTACCACATTTATATTTCCTAGATTTTACTTTAACTTAAAAGTTTGTTTAGTTTAGTGCTGGACGTAACCTAAGAACTTAAAGAAGTTAAGGTCTAACTTTTTACTAGTAGTAGTACTACCACTATTAGTATTACTAATGTCGTAATGACAAAGGTTTATATAATATGAAGTCATTTCATTCTTTCCAAATAGGGAGTTACTCAGTTAGTGTATTGTGCATTTGCTTATGAATTTTTGTGTACTTTAACTTATATACTTATAACTATAATCCACTAATATTTTGATATTTTAATAATTAATGTTACTAATATATAACAAATTGTTAACATAATGTTTAGGAACCTATTGGTCCATCTTGGCTGTCCAATTCTCAAAAACTAAAACTATTAGATAAATAAATCTTAAAGCTAGCCCTTATCATTCATATAGTTATCAAACTATAGTTATTAAACTCACTTAAATTTACTGTCTCCACAACATCTGAAGGCAACCCATTTCAAAGGCCATCTACCCTGTTAGAAAATTAAAACTGTCTTAGCTAAAGGTGACTATTACCTTGCCCATATTTATATTAGTGTCCCCTAGTCGTACTATTCTTGTTGTTAAGTATGAAAAAAGATGATGCATCAACTATTATTTCCCTTTACAATCTTAAATATCTCAATCGAAGAAAACAATTTCAGATAACTTAATCTATCCTCATGTTAGAGAGTTCCAGATAATTATAGTTCCTGGCCAGGAAGTTTCTTAAAGCGAAATCACAGTTGTGAATATATAAATCTCTCATAAGTAAAGTACCAATTTTGTACACTAAACAACAAGTGGAAAACTACTACAACACTAATACACGCTGAATTTGCAGGATTTAGTTCAAGGCAACTGTACTCCCATGAGTTTTACCGTAGAAAACATCATAATGATCGTCACCATTTGTCAACAATCAGTGAGCAAATATTAAAACTGAAACCAGGGTGTTGATTCGAATTGGCAATACTTAAAACGATAGCCCTCGTCATGCTGTACTTTGGTCTGGTTGGTTTCATTGGATCCAGAAGAAGTTACTATTTGAAAACACACATAGAAAACTTTAAAACCATTTAAAATTATTTTTAGCCATTGAATTGACAGAAACGAGGATATCCAATGAACTTGATGTTGCAGACTACAGAAAGTATAAACTGATACATATATATATGTATGCCCAAATTGAACCAACAGCATGTCAAAAAATGATTGTAAACAGTCTATATGTTGTTCTGAGAACAGTTTGCTATATGTCATATCATTGGGTTGGCTATGAATGATTTATCAATTACATCATGACATGACATAGAATAGGTAGAGGTTACTACTGTTATATACCTGTCAATTACGGTATTTCAAACTTACAACCAATTTGATTACAAAATCTCACCTATTCTTTCATGGGTTAGTTTATGCTTCATTATTAACATTTGGTTATTGACAATTTATTATTTTATTTATCCATATAATGTGAGTACACGTGTATGTGTTTAAAATGGATGGATATTAATGGAACTGCATTTTATTCTTGCCACAGGTGTCATGCAGTATCAGGTTACTAGGTAAAGAGATAGATCACTGACATTGTTTTAATGGGAAGGTAGCAAAAGGTCACTTTGTCGGTGTTATTTTTAATTGTTTTTCATTGATTATGAACTAAATAATTGAACTTGTGGTGTAACTCTACTAATTTGTGACTGTGGAAACCAATAGTGTGTAAATTGTTTTAATTCCCCCCTAGAGTTGTATGACATTCCAGGTACCATTCTAGTAACCCTACTCTTAACCCTTTCCAACAATTCAGTGTCCTTCCTGAGGTAAAGAGCCCAAGATTGAACACAGTACTCCAAATGGGACCTAACTAGTGATCTATATAATGAAATAATAATCTTTGTATATACAAACTAAAATTCTATTTGTCCTAATAATAGCAACAGGACACTGCTTGAATTTTTTGACTGATAAACCATTACACTGTTCATGAAACTGTTAAGGTTATCCCCATCCAAATTATACTTATGATTCAACTTATGATAACCCACATGCATTATCTTGCATTTATTATAGTTAAAACCCATTTTCCATTTTTTGCCCAACTCACTAAATGATCTAAATCCTTTTGCAAACAACAGCATTCTCTTCACAGCTAGCAACACTCAAGACCTTAATATCATCAACAAATTTAAGTAACTTATTAACCATTCCTTCATCTATGTCATTGTAAATCAAAAAGAGCAAAGGTCCTAAGAATGAGCCCTGAGGTACCCCACTTGTGACATTAATCTGATTTGACTGAACACCATTTATAACAACACTCTGATTTCTCCCATCCAACCACTCTTCTATTCAATTAGCTAACATATCCTCCACACCTTAGATAAATATTTTTTACAACCCCTTTTATGTGGCACCTTGTCAAATGCTTTCTGAAAATCCAGATACACCAAATCTACTCCCTTACCCTGATCTGCATAAGCAGT